ATTAAATATGCTAATTTTTAGTTTTTGTTCATGAATAATCAATACTCTTTTACATTTTAATAACTATAATACATAGGCAAAACTGTTTCATAAAAAAAAAAAAAAAAAAAAAATAAAACATACCATATAGCAAAATTGGATGAAAAAAAAAGATGTGAAATTGGAAATCATTATTTTTCAATCTTATTTTCAGTAACAGTTTTGTTTTCTTGTCATCGACATTTGAGGTAAAGGTTTACATCCAGAAATTTGCACTTATCAATCAAGAAATAAGTATCTGTATTCTTTTAGTTTGATTCAATTTGTTTTTCACTTGCAATGAGCGACAACAATTGAATCCTTGTAAATATAATGCTACTCTTCATTATGAACCTAACTACATCCACAATTCCACTGCAGCAAAGATTACTGTGCAACGTATTTTAAATTAAAAAAGTTCACCTTTTTCAAACACTTTTCATGCGAAACTTCAGGAAATAATTTACACAAAATTTCTCACATACATCAAACCATATATACAGAACAACTTTTGCATATAATTTACATATATCTCTCACATTTTTCAATCACATATAGAAATATTTCTTATTCAAGAATCAGCACTCCTAGCAAACACATTTCAATTTTAGAAGATTTCACAGCCAGAGATATCACCAAACATGGTATTTGTGATCATAAGGGCAATAAAATATAGTTTGTACAAAAGCTGCCTTTTGAGTTATTTTTTGATTAGTTTCTACCTTTAGAATTTATTTCGTCCTTCCTACTTTCAGTCTTCATAAATATGTTTAGTCAATAAAACTCCCTTATTTCTTGATTATTAATGTGAATTTTACATGTCAATACATCATTTATAAAATATTCCTTGCATCCATCCCAACATGATATATATTGAAACTGTGTCACAAAGTTTTAAACAGACTTTTGCCTGGATGGACCTCAGGGGTGATTGACAGTCTTTTAACACTACTAATGTGTCCAAGGAAAATTTTTTAAGCCCTTGGGTTACTTAAAAGTTTCACAATCAAATAAAAGAAAACTTGGATCTGATATGTGATAGCACTTTTATCTCTTTATTTCCATCGTTACAGCATCTATTCAATGTAGAATAATGCATCCACACTTGAAATTCACTTGCTTAAACTCCATGGATCAGAATTACCTAAGGCTAACAAAATACAAAAATATGGTGGTTGTCATGACTAAAATCATACTCAGGTTTTGGATCCAACTCAAAAGGCAGCTATTCATCTCTGATCTTGTGACAGATCAACTATACTCCACTTGATGAATCTCAATATTTAACTAAGGAAATTACTAATAAGATTAATTGTAATTATCCTTACTGAATATTTTCCATTTGACCGTCGCAATCATTCTAAACTTTACTGAACATCATAAAGAACTCTACACTATTACTTCCTACTCTAACACCAATTGCACAACATTATCACAATTTTCCATCAGCCTTTCTAGACAGAAGTTTAAAAGATATTCCGCTGTAAAGAAATGCCTTGTTTTCAAAACATTAGTCAGACTGTTGCCGAGAAAATATACAAATATTTGTGTTTACTTCTTTTTCCAAGATTAAGTCAATGTCACTTTTTAAAATCCAATCGAGCAAAAAAAACTTCCAGTGCAAAGGTTCAATACTATACCATATATATATATATATACATAGTGCAGAATGTAACCTATCTTTTAACTTGAAATGATTTTATTAATAAATGTAGTTTTCTGTACAAACAAAATTGATAAATATCATTTCATGTGTATTTTAATTTTAGAAGTGTTTCTTGTCATAACTAAGATAGCAACAACCTGACTTACATTATTTCCTTTTAAAGAATGAGTGGTCAAGTTGTGCAGTAGTAACGCACCTGCCTTTCACCTAGTCATCCAGAGTATGATTCCTGGAACGGACATGAAAAACGTATGGGGTCATCTGCCTGACCATGTGAGTTTTCAAATTTTTTATTTTGTAATTATCTTAAAATAAATAAAGTTTATATCAAAACACAAGTTTTCTCGACAACAGAACTGCCTTCAGCTTGGTAATATTCCAGTAAAAGTTCTTTAATAATTCATGGTTTGGCTACTTATCTTTCAAAAGTGCCTTTTATCTCTTTCAAAAGAATACTTCTTTTGGACAGTATAATTCTCTGCAAATTGAAATTCCACATCTGCAAGGCCAAACAAGATATATTTCCTGCTTCCAGTAACCCTACTTACCCATATATTTTGTGCCTACCCTAAACGTTTTCAAGCAATTTTCAAAGCATCACTATTAAAGGTGAGATCTCTCTCCTATATAACTATGCAAGAGGCCCAACAGGCCTTTATCGCTCATCTGGAAATCAATGTTTGTCAAAAATCCCATAAATTCTAACAAATTTCCTCAGCGAAATACCATGCAAATTTATAATTTGAATAACTTATTTGAATAAGGGTCAAGGTCATTTCTTTTTGCAAACTTTGTTGGGCTTCATCCCGAAACCTACCAACCAAATATCATGACATTTGGTCTGTGAAGAAGTTGTTGATGCCACAGCATAAGCTCACTTTGCAATTCAGGCTAATTGAGCTAATAAAATTATTTGCAAAAATAAGATTTTTTGCCTACTTATTCATCCTTAATTTTTCCTAACATGTTACAGGAAACAAAAATACTTTTTGTCTGGCCTAATAACATATTCATAAGAAAAATCAATTGAATCATTTACTGCAATACAACCAAGCAGACATTTCCGATACAATATCATGACTAGTCACTTTTTTTTCCCTTGTAAAATTACAGTGGAAGCAAATTTCCCCTTAGAAACAAATGTAGCAGGGATTTGCAAAGTAGATTATTCTACTTAATTCACTTCAATTAATTTATACACAAACATATATATATATACACACAAGTTTTAAGACTGGTGTTGCACATAGATGTATAGAAAAACATTAAAACACTTTTAGTGCTCAGACACTCTTATGCTCTGGGGTCTTCAATATTCTATCATTTTACAATTAATTGGCTTTTATTTTTTTTTTTTTCATTTTTTGGGTTTTTTTTTTTTGTTTTGTTTTGTTTTTATTTGAAAGAGAGAGGGCAAGATGAGGTCTCAATCCAATCTCAATATCAGTTAAGGTCTTGCCTTCTGTTATGAAACAGCAAAACAACCATAACAAAACAGTCACAAAAATTATGAGGCAGTATTCAATTCAGTTTAAAGAGTACTTGCAAATTATAAAAATAAAATAACATTTTTCTGCTCAGCCACAGATCGCATCCAAAGCCTTCCTAGATTCTCTTTTGGTTCTGATTTTATGTACACCTTATGATCCGTTTTCTGTCCAATCTTGTTGCTCAAATTATGGTTTCTGAGATAATGCAAGTCCACTATCTTTTATCTAATATAGATCTTAATACCTTAGTTTCATGTTTCTTTGTCACAATGAGAAAACAGCATAAGAAAATCACTTGGTATGTGACTGCTATAGAATTTTTTTTCATGAACAAATTTTTTGGTTTTTTTTTCTTTGCCTGCAAGACTTCCAAATGAAAATCACTGCACACTAGCATTTGAAACATAATATTCCATACACCAATATCCACAAACACTGCATATATGCATACACAATCCTTTCAAGACAGTAAATATATATACAAATAGAGAACATCTCATAGCATTTCTTTGGTACATCCATAAAGCATTCTCTCAAAAGCACTTTTCCACAGGTGCTATCAATAAACATATTATTTATGTGGTGAATCCCAAAAAGATGACCAACATGCAGTTTCTGTGGAATACAAATATTCAATGCTGCAATGAAATTTAGATAATAGTCAGCATTGGTTACCACTGTGTCAACACAGCTAGGTAGCATTGTCTATGTAAGTACATTGTGGTTGGGCATTTATATTACTGCAGTATTCAATGCAGTAACTATGTTAATACTAGGTCACATTTAATAGCTTACATGAAGTAATCAACATCCACAAAGTTGGATACGCATTCTGAATCTTAATGAATAGGTATGAATAGTGAAAATTCATAGTTATGCTTTTTTCTACTTATTTAGAAAAAAGTCTTTCTGACAATTTTGGAAAGAATATTGATCAGTTAGAAATTTTGAGAAGTAAACCACTTATTTTGGAATTTTGGATTTTTCTCAAAATAAATCCTACTGAGAATGGGGCCAATATTTCGCCATATAGAGTCCCCAAAAAAGCCAGAGGTGGTTTTATTTCATGAATATGATTCATCTACACCAAAGATCCTTTGAAGCCTGGATTCTTACATGCTCAGAGGCATCAATTGGAAAATGTAAAGGGAATGTAATTACATCTGAACTAACACAATTTGTATTGAATTTTACTCAAAACACATGAACAGAAAATGTTAGATCAGGACTCCAAACAAATTAGAAAAAAAAAAAAAAAAATTGAAAATTGAAATTTTAAGCACTACAGTTGTTAAATTTCATAAATTATCAATAAAATAATGATGAAAACCTTTTTAAAATCAACATTTTAAAAAAAAATAATTCTTGTTCTTCGTATGAAAATTGTTTTACTTCAGTTTTAATATAACTGGAATTTAAAAAATGATGTGGCCAATATTCAAAGCACCAAATTTAACGAAAAAAAAAAGAGTATTTTTAAGAAATATACTGGTTTAATATGCTATACTATTCCAAACATACTAATATGGTTTTCTGAGCAAAAGGTGAAGCATGATCACACAAGAATGTTGTGTGCACTGGTTAAACACAGAATAGCTTTAATTTTACACAAAACATACATAATATAACATTATTAAATCTATCTTAACATCATAAGAACAAAAATTTCAAAGAGAACTAACAAAATACAGCACACAGAAACTTTGTTTTTGGCAAGTTATCAAAATTGACTGCAAAAAAGTAATTTTTACCATGACTGTAAAGAAAGCTTTCAGCTGTAACAAAGCAATCCAACTTCTCTGCAGTATGACTAGATAAACACACAGTCACGATTTATTTTTTGGAGTGTTGCTAGAGGTAGTCTTTCTGGGGAAGGTTGAACATTTGTTGTTCGTCTGTGAGGTTTTTACCTCACCCTGCGGCTTTTGCAGGGTTGATTTTCCTTTCTCTCCCATCCTCATTTGCGATCTCCTGCTGTTTTTGTTGCTTGCTTTTGCATCAAAATATGAAACTTTCTTTGTCTGCATGCCTTTTGGCTTGCATTCACCATCCTTTACCACCTGAAATAATAAGAGCTGTTTGAGACCAGGATAGCTCAGCATATTAATTCACAAACAAATTTACTTCTTTTCATAGAAACATACAAGATATGGTTCAGTATATTGAAAAAACTTCAACACTAATGCTCAAACTATTTAAAAACCAACTGCCTAATGACATTTGGGATCCAGGACTTCTTAAAAAAATTTGTAAAAAAATCTAAATTTAAGACTTTTACCCCTTTTGAGACCAAGAAGTATGAACAAAAAATACAAGAGGTATCTTTGTATCCAACATTGCTTGATCTTTATTCACTCTTTAAAAGGATCTTTTCCCCTTTCCTCTGGTTTTTCTCTACATAATAAGAAATTTGAACATTCCTCTGAAGAAATGGCGAAAATAATCTATAACGGCCAAATCCAAGATAGTCACCTGTTGGCAATTTTATGTTAATGATCAGTTCCAAAATCAGCATGGAACAACTAAGGACCATGGGAAACCTACAGATAAAATTTGATAAAGATCCATCCGTACTTTTAAAGAAATAGCAATAACAAACTTTCAATTTAAAAATCCAAGATGGCAAACTGTCAGATATTTTGTTTTTATGATCAGCTCAAAAATCAAACTGGCACAATCAGGGACAAGGGGAACCTAAATGTGAAATTTGAGAAAGATCAATCTAGCACTTTTCCAGAAAAATCGATAGAAGAATTACTCATGGATGGAGCATTTGTGATCCAGTACTGATTGAAAGAACTTATTTCAAAATGAAGGAATTTAACAAACTCAAATTGGAAATCTCTCCTTAAGTAATCAATATACTGCATTGACCAACAGATAGTTATCATTCACAAAGTTCATGAAATTCTGAACTTTACTTACCAACCAATTTTCCCTAAGTTCCTGAATACATTACGTCACAACATGGATATATATATATGTAGATCTCTATTCATTTCGTGTCAGATGATTTAACTTGGTGCCTGCACATTTTTGGTTTTGTGTAGAGGACTTTCTTGCTGGTTAGAGGAAAATTATGAGGAATTCACAACCCAAATTATTGTTCTCGATAGAACAACACAGAAACAAGATAATATTGGAATATTAGCAGAATCTTAATCAGAATTCATAATCATTGAAATGAGAGCAAAGCATGAATAAAAAGATTTCAAAATAAACACTTAAAAAGTGTAAGGAGAGTAATTTTCTACTTCATCAACTACCACCGCCAAGGAAATCACCATCAAACCAAGTACAATGTGACAAAGTCTCAGATGAGATCATGTTTAATAACGAAACCACAGGCACACTAACAATTAAAGCAATGTATTTCAGTATTCAGCCTTCAAATCTCCCCTAGGAGAAAGATCTGCAGGTTTCAGGCATATATGACACATAAATTGAAATAGAAATCAATATTTTAAATAACAAACACAAAAATATAAGAACCTTTTTTAAGTCTGGAAAGTCATCAGCTTGAAATTCAAATTTTGAACCCTTTGGTTTACCACCTGCAGCCACACCTTGAATTCTGAAACAATAAAAGTTCATAATGATGTTAAATTAATTAAAAATAATTTCACATGTACATATACTTCAAATTTTTCTCATGCAATTTTCAGCATCATAGAAAAGAGGATTAAATGCAATGTCTAAGTAGTTATGCAGACAATAGGGATAAGCAACTAGACAAACAAAAACATACTGATTCAGAAAAGTAAATTTTTATGTCCATTGTAGCTGAATAACAAATTCATGAATCCATTATGAGTATATCATAAGTAGTTCTGGCAAATTTCTAACACTTGTTACTGATGATTTACTTCTGGTTTGCAGTAACATTGTCTGTCCCTCACCCTGTCGAACGTTATCTTCATTTTATTTATTTTTTCCTTAATTTTGATAAAGCTTAGATATAATTGCTTTTACACATGAATTAACCTAAAACCTATTATCTTTTTTCTTAAAACCTATTATCTTTTTTCTTATAAGTATAATTACATATGTATTGTTAATGAGCTTAATATTGAATAACATTTAAAATTTGGTTTTTTTATGCTTTAAATAGTCATATTTGAATCTATTTATCTAAAAGTACACATATACATGTATTGAAATGTTCTTGAATGCATGCAAGACATGTAAAAAAAATGTTAGTTGTTATTTCAATTACTATCTATTACAGATAAAAGTAGGAGGAGAGGAGAAAAAGGAGTCTATAATTGTGCAACATAAATATGCTACTGCTTTCTGACATTTAAAATTTTTGTGAAACCAAATTTACAGCCAGAGCTAGCCCTATACATTAATAACATCTGACCATCACCCCTGTAAACAGCAATCTACAGGTTTCAAAATATTTACTGACTTTGGATAATATCCATGCAGGAATGGACACATCTCAGCTTTGAAGCAATCACCCTCTTCCCAGAACCTGCAGGTGATATTGGACACGTCATGGGCAAATTTACAGTCCATCCGTCGACATACTCCTTCCATAAAGAAGCTACATGGTTTCTTTTTTCCACCTAAATATATTATGACATGGAGAACAATATAGTGATCGACATTTAAAGTTTAGGTGTTGAGAAAGAATTTTTTCAAAGAACTATTGATAACACATTTCTGGTCAGAGTTGATTTGGAGATGTAAGAAATTATTATCTTCTTGACAGCCAAAGGTGTAGGAAATGTAGACATACCATATTTTCTGGATTATAAACTGTGGCTTTTGTCCTCAGCAGTCGAGTATGCGGCTTATATGTGGACAAAAAAATGGCTGAATGGTGAAAAAATGAAGGCCTACTGTACCAGTACAAGATGCCATAAACCTGTTTTTACAAGTCCACACGTTTGTGACCGAAAGAAACCAATTGCAATTGTATACTAAATATTTGTAGACTGCAATCAAATAATATTCCTGTGGATTTGACTAATCATACCTGCTAATATGCAACACAATAATATATTATTGCCTTACATGGTTCCTTTACAGCAGTACATGCAAGAAAGTGTAATGGATGTTTACAGTAGACTATTGCACCTTGGAATCCATAGGTTAAGGGCGCCGATGGAGGCAACAACAAAAAATCATATACATTTGTATTCTATTACTTAAACTTTTGGGTAGCACAACACATGTGCTTATATAGGTATATTTCTGCATGTATATTTTATCTATTTATTAAATACAATTATTATCCAACTAAGAGAAAGTAAATTCATAAGTTTTTTCTAAAGACAAGCATAGCACATGCTATTTAATAATTAATGAAAAATACTTCTGTTGGCCCCACCATGCCCGTTTACACACTGATATGCTTTGCAATGCCTATTTTCATAATAACAGACTCATATACCATCAATGGATGTTTAAATACATGTACTGGTTCCTTCATTTTGTTGTCAAACTGTTTAACTTACATCGGAGATAAAGCTGTGTTGCTAAACATATATCTCAATGCTATTTGACTAAAAATTCTTCACTAGGTCTTAAGGTGACAAGGTCAAATTCAAGAATAGCCGTCATGTTTGTTAACGATGTTGGCAGGTTTGATAGAGTTAATAAAAATATATTACAGGATATAGAAACTTTATCAACATGCAATAGCCTTCATTAATGTTTAACAATACAGACACTGGTGGAGAGGTTGTAATACTGTATGTAATGCCAGGCCCTACCTGTGCTTTAGCAATCATTGAAGGCCCCTAACAAGTTTGCTATTTTATGTATTTTCAATGACCAGCTTAATTCAAAAATACATCCACAAAGTAAAGGAACGTTCGAGCAAAATTCATCAGTAAATTTTATTAATGTTACACTGATGATTCGATAAACTGCCTTCCATTATCTGTTACCCATATATCAAACGTCAACAGTAGTGGTCACCATATCGTAAGAAAGGTACGGCTAATATGTGGAAAAACAGAAAAACGCTAAATACTGGCTTTTCAGCTTATATACCAGTGCTGCTTATAACCCAGAAAATATGGTACACATGTGTAAGTACTGAACCTCTCTTGTACAGGTAAACAATGTTCTGCTGCAAAAATTTGTCATTTACATCTGCCATGAATACCATGTTATGACATGGAAGTTCAATGTGTAACACTTCTTCATTAACCTAGATCTTAAAATACCTGGCCCTTTCAATGAGGATTGCAGAGTCATATCTTTTTCATCCTGTTTTCCTTTCAGCCACTCTTTTTCCAGATCTGTGGAAAAGACAGCTTGGCTCGGCATTGGCATGAAAAGCTGGGCGTCATTATTTTCCTAGTAAAACAATAAATATCATTTTGTTCTTTTCCTCCTGTATTTACACATGTTATGTTATGCTGCAGTATTTCAAACCAATATATAGTATCAGCAGATAATAAAAATGTGTCTGTTGAATTGAATTGTACTAAATGTACCGTAACTACATTGACAGAATTCTCAAATGCAAATATACTGTTTTCAAACTAACATCATCTTCAGAAGAAAATAAAATGAAGTGCATTTCAAAAATGCATGCATTTTTAAATCTTCACAAAAATACACAACATAGCCACAAAAGTTAACCAGTCCATAAAACGGTGCAACTTTTGCAAATATTTGATTTTCCTTACCTGAAATTCCATATCAGAATACATGTCTGGATTGCCACTGTCTGCATGTGCCTTCTTTTTCTGGTGGAAAACAAGTTTCACCTTTATAACATCCTCATCCTGCTGGTTAGATTCAGGTTGGGGAGCAGTAATATTTCCTCCCTCCAAGGCTTCTTCACAAGTAGTGTCAGTGTTTTCTTTTGGATAAAACCTCTCAGAATACAGAAAATTTGAAATATTTCCATCATCTTCACTTAATGTACTTGATCCTTTCTGAAGGAATTTGTTACCAACTGGTTGCAGACTTTCTTTCACAAAATCTCCCATGCAAATATTGTTCTCTAAGGCAAAGAAATCTGTTGAAAAGTTAGGCTGTGAGAGCTTTCTCAGTAATGATGGGACACAAGCTTCTTTTTCAGAAAAATGTTGATCCATGAAAATTTGTTCTTCCTTGGTTTTACAATCTTGCCCTGTACTCCAAACACTTTGTGAGGCTGGGTATTCATAATAGTTTGTGTCGTCTAGTAGCTCTCCATCACAGTAATACCCATTCAGAAGCCATTCTTCTTCCACTTGGTGCATCAGAAAATCTTCCCCATCTTCATTCTCATCATCTTTCCCGTCCTCTTCCTCTTTCCCAGCCTTTGCATATTTCAAATTTTTTCGTATATGAGCCTCGTTTAAACACTGTAAACCTAAACCTCCTTCAACCTTATACATTACCCAGCCATCCTCCCTCGTGAATACTTGCTTCTCTCCAGAAGACTTCTCTACTGTAATACATTCGAAGGCATTATCTACAGGAACACATTCAACTGGAGGAACATATCCTTCTTGATATTGATATCTAACATTCCTTGAACCTTCAATCCCTGTATCTCCTGTATCAAAATCTTCATAACCAGAATCTGTACAAGCATTTTTCACATCCTTGGGAACATTTTGTGGTGTATTTTGTTCAGAGACTGTTAAGCTATCAACATAGCCATAGATGTCGAAATCCTCAAGTGCATTCTGGTCAAACTCTGTACAAATACAAGCTGTGTCATCATCCTGTTCCCAGTTTTGGACTTGGGCGAAATTTCCGCATTTGTTACATATATTCCCATACTCTTCACAATCTATGTATGGTTCTCCATGTTGATATGCAATGGAGGTATTGGTTTGAATGTATTTATCATGTTCCTTCCTAAGTTTAAACATGGGTATGAAACTCTCTTCACTTGAGTCAGATCTAGCATCTTGAAATTTTTGATAGGGTGTTTTTGATGTTTTTGGACAGCCACCAAATAGATCACGTAAATGGAAATCTGAGGAGGAAACATCTGAAACAGTATCACCAGGCTTTCCAACAGGTGTCTGGATTGGCTGAAAATGAGTCTTAGGGGAGAAAAACAAGTGTTCTTTTGGACTGCTGGAGTCTGTAGCCTTCTTTTTTGGTGTATGCGGCAAATATTCATTCAGAAATTTAGGTTCATTCTGACTGCTATCTAGATGGTATTGCTGTAGATTTGGTTCACTTACAGCATGCTGTATTCTCTTTGGTATGACATCCTGAAACGCAGAGTGTTCGGAAGGTACAAGTTCAAAGCTTTTAGAAAGATGAGAATAAGAAGATACAGATTCTGGTTTCGACTTCAGTGATGAAAGCTCATTCAATGAAAAACTACGATCAAAGTCCCTTCTGCAATCTTTTGAAAACAAGTGTTGATCGCCTCTTTCTTCATCACTATCATCATTCATGAAAGCACTTTCTTCTTCAGAAATTAAGGAGAATGTTATCTGGGGGATAAGAGTGTTAAGAGATGCTTCATCATCTGAATGACCATTTCCAGTAAAGTTCACACTTTGCATAAAATCAGGTTCAGTGTGATCGAGGTGCTGAAATGGTTTCCATGGATATGATAATCCAAGCATTTTCTTCCCTTGGTAGTTGACATCCCATAGCTGTGATGCCTTTCCACTAAAAGCTAGTTGTGACCCATTATGCCTTTCCCAACCTAGAGTAGAACTATCATCACTATTATCATCTCTACCAAAAAGGAATTTCTTAGGCCAGTCATTCATTAGAGTTGTTTCGCTGCTGCTAACTGGTATGGAGATTTTATGATCATCTGAATTGGAAGCTGGAGACAGGTCTGTTGCATGGAGGGAAGCATAGATTGATGAAACTGGATGAGTAAATAAATCATAGTTTGGGACTGTTGTATTCTCCTCTGAGTTGGCCAACGTCCATTCAATGTCGGGTCTGTGCTCTGTCATGGTTGTCACTGAAGCTGACGAATTGGATGAGGTAGAGGATTCACTGTTGGACTTTAACACTGAATCAAACAAAGAGGATAAGGATTCTGTGGAAGGCAAGTCGTCTTCTCCAAATTGCTCATTGTTAATAAACATGTCACCTTCAGATGTCTCGGAGACCAAATGGCAAATTTCTTCCTGGTTTTTTCTTATGGTCTTGCAACAAATACTTTGAATAGGAGATGTATAATTTGAACCATTTTCAAGTTTCTTTTGTTCTGTTCCATCTTTGTGTGACATCGCAACTTCTCTGAAATCATCTTCAGTAGCAGTCCAAGGGGATGATGATATGAAATATGATGAATGATTCGGATTGGTGAGGGTATCTGGAACAAGTTCCTCTAAAGGCATAATAAGGATGTCCTTTTCTGGTAGGCTTTCTTCCAACAGATTTTCAAAACACTCTTTCTCCACCATCAATGACTGTAGACCAAAACTGTCATCATTATCTAGGCTTGCATCATGCTTGGTCCAATTTCCTTCCAGCTTCAAATCTTGCAGGCCAAAGACATTGCTCTCCATCAATTCTGACTTTCTATCATTGTTCTCTTCCAGACTTAGCAACTGCAAACCAAAGAATTCTTGAATATCTTCATGGTCTTTTGTAATGTCAGATGTCTCTAAGACAGTTTTTTTGCTCTTCTTTACATCATCACAGTGTTTGTCAGAATCATCCTCCATCTCGCATTTTTGTGATTGGCCGATTGTGGTGCTTTGAGTGTCACAATCATCTGCCTTATTGAAGCATTCAAACGATGGATAACTGTGGCGTTTATACAGTCGTTGATGAAATGGAGTAGAAATATCCTCTGCTTCAAACAACTCGTCAAACGGTTGGGTATACCAGAAATCTTTTTCCTGCAGTTCTGGACTGAATCGGTCCTCTGAAAGAGAAGCTGGTGCTGTTCTATAAAAATGTCTCTTCCCCTGGAAATCATATGCATCATGTCTCGAATGTGGAAGAAGAATTTCTTTCAAAAGGTTTTCAACTTGACTACACAGCTCCCGCTTTTTGTCAATAGTACATTCTTCATGGTAGTCGATAGCAGAATCTGATGCATAGTTCCAATCTTGAGGCCAACTAGCAAAACGACAAAACTTCCCAATGCTATCATTCTTTTTTCCACCAAGTCTTCCATGATTACGAGCTGATTTCTTTTTCTTATTATTTTTGTAAGACCTTGGTTCGCTTCTTATTTTGTCTCCTTTTTTTTTATCTGATCTTAATCTACTCTCTTTCTCAGATTCATTTCCAGAGTCAAAATTAACACTGTAGCTTTCACTAGATGACTTCGTGATAGGATTCTTCCGCCATACATCAACACTATCTTTATTGTAGGGTGATGAAAACTCGTAACATTCTGATTTTTCCTGTCCATGCAAAGCAGGAAAAGCTGCGTAATACCTGTGAAGAAAACATAACTACACTTTACACAAGGTTACACAAGGTTACACACGGTAAAATTAGATACCATATGAAACAGATCCTAATTCATAGCGGTAAGTTGACAAGAATTGTGTAAAAAAAACACTCAAACATCAGATTAAAAACATGAAAGGACCATAGAACAAAATCAACGTCATGCTAAATTAAGACTTAAGTTGTAGGCCACAGTGAATGAGAGAGGTCTTGAATAACGCAGAACACTGATATATATGGGCACAATCAAGTTGTGACATACAAGTGCGGGAATGAAAATTATTTGTCCTTCAACCTAGACTGATGAAATGTTATGAATATAGTCATACATCAAAATGGAAACAGCAAATAATGTTAGACAGTTACTTCTGTGATATGAAAAAAAAAATAACTTCGATTTAAATTTCAATAATTTGATTCTACAAAGATGCGAAAATCATCTTCTTTCAGGTGCAAGTTAGGACCAAATAAGTATAAACCTTTCAGCTGGATCTCCCACTAATTCTGGGCTACTATTTGATGTGTCAGTGTCATTGGTACCAGTGGAACTATCTGAAAGCTGCACCACTTCTGGGTCATCCAAACCTGGAACATACAAAGTATCAGAGATATAAAATTGTGTTGTATATCCATAGGTCCAGATCATAAAACAAATAACATGATCAACTAGCTATATATACATGTGTACTTTTAAAAATCTGCATTAAATTGCAAATGTACCTGGTATTTGAAAGCTTTAGAGGTGCTCAAATTAAAAGCCATGAGACAAAATATGCATGAATAACTAACCTAAGTCTGAGTCAATGCTTCTAAAATATGCACCTTGCAATGAAAAAATATCTTCAGCATTTGCCTGCATTCTATCCAAGTTTAAACAACCACAGGCATAGCTTAAGAAGGACATAGTCATTCAGATTCCATGCAAAGGCAGCCAAGTTATAGGTATGATATTTCGCTGTGATCATTTGATAGAATGTTTAAATCAATATGAAGGATGGAATATAAGAAGTGATTAGAGTCTTATTAATAAATTTTATTTTGAAAGTTTTAGAGGCGAGTTCCAGAAATGCTGGTTAAAGCAAATATAATGATGTTTCTGTGGCAACAATTTTTGTAGGACTTTAAACTCAAGAAGCACCATTTCCAAAATCATGATGAATCTGGTTACAATGAGATATAGTGGGTTCTTCAAAATTGGAGTGCTACCAATCAGACTTAAATATCTGGATCTGAAGAATCAAAGCATGGCAACCAAGAAAATATCAGGTGGCACTATTAGACAATTTGCTAGATGTGTGTGGGATATATTTCAGCATTTTAAACTATATTTAAGTATATTGTACACAAAATGCAAATAGAAATTGTGTTTACATTAACTGCTGCCCCATGCAAAGACTTCAAACCAAATCTGAATCAAAAGAAATTACACTCAAGATTTGAATTTTCCTACTTAATTATAAAATCTTCCATCCAGTCAGTTTGACCCAGTTTTGCCCTGCACCCCTTCAAACCCTACTTTTGGACCCATACAACAGCCCCTGGGGATCAGTCGAGGGCAATATGTGAATCTCATTAAACTGTCATCTTAAACTAATAATTCTAACCAGGTTTTGAACTATTTCCAATAGAAAATTAACAAATAATTTTGGTAAAGCATCTTAAGGCCATCCATGAAGAGTTCTTGATTCTGCCATACCTGGGACTTGAGAAGAAGATTTTTGAAGTTTCAGTCATTTGACCCTTTTTGACCCAGCCCCTCAGGACTCTTGGGGTTTGGGAACATATAATTTACAATTTTGGTGCACCATTATCCATTGAAGGTTTTTGTAAAATTTCATCGAAATTGGTTCAGGATTTTTCCAGAAGAAGTCAAAAATGTTAGAAGAACCAATTTCAGCACCATGGGCTTTTTGGTTATTGTGAAGAAGTTTTCTATACATTTGTCTCCTATACCTTGAAAGCGAGTCAAGGTCATTCATATTAACAAACTCATTAGTCCTTCATCCCAGCATCACACAGTCTCAATATCAGCACCCTGTGCCTTTTGGTTATTGAGAAGAAGTCAATTGAACAGAAAGTTTATGCACGGCTGACGACACATGAGGACTGATGAAACATACTGGCTATATCTTTTCTTGACCCAATGGGTCAGTTGACCTAAAAAAAACTATGTTTTGCTTACTTGCTGGTTTACAAACTTCTTTTAGCTTTGTACACAACTCTTCAACCAAAATCTCAATGCCAGTGTCCTAGGAAGAAAACACAAGATATCAAAAACAAATTTACCCTTGGCAACAATGGTTAATGGATGAAAGTTGATGTTTTCTTTTTAGTCATTATCCAGTTGAAGTAAGTTTCAACATCAACTGAAATTCATTTAATATGATGTAATTAACTTAATAGGAGCCACACTTTGACTCTGAAAGAGATGTAAGATAAGAAATACTTGGTGAACATTCAATAAATATTCTGAATATGGTGATATAGCTAGATACAGATAATCATGATCATAAGTTCATAAACATGACGTGCAAATTAACCATTTTCAAAATATATGCCACTTTCTCCAGCACTTATAAATATTTATCCAGCATATCTCACCTCTTCTGGCACAACAGCCTGAAGACATTCAATAACAGCACTCTTTTTCCTATCTTGTCTTTTTTCCAAATTTGCTGGATTTACTTTCTCTTGTTTCTTGACTTTGCCTTTTTTGTTCATCTTAGGTTTATACTTGTTAAAATCAAAGTAGTCAGGACAGTCAACCTCTTCCTCATCATCTTCTTGTAGTAGCTGAATTATGTGACGCGAGTATATCATGGAGTCAATACCTCTGCTCTCCAACTCATTCCCCAACCATGTCTGGACCGATGGCAGATGCAAGGTCTCCATGTGTACCTGCTTCTCCAGGTACCTCATGAGAGCAAAGCAAGTTCGTTCTTTAGCCTTCAGTTAATATCTGACCTTTAGGTCTACAAAAAATAGACGGAATCCATTGGTTTGATATAGTTACCGCCACCATAGAAAATATTGAACTGACTCAGACATCTCTGATGCCTTCTGGAGTTACTGCCGGCTCCAAAAAATGACAAATGGATCATGATGAAATGTTATCGTAGCTGCCGTTGACGTGATACTGATGTCCTGCCTTATTCCAATTCTTCAACTGTACCTAGGCAAAGTACAGTCCATGAATGGAAGACTGCAGAGGAACATCTTGGTTCATTTAGGAAAAAGGCCATATCTGCAAAAAAAAAAAAATAGAATTTTCAAAATATACAATGTATATGCCACAAATTTCCCACCTGGGATTTTCATAAAGCATGTCAAATACTAAGCTAAAAGTATAACTGCATCAGTCTGAATCACAAGAATTTCTGCATTTTGAAACAAGCTGTCTGTACAGACTATACTGTAACAAGTCTCCTTCCCCCTTCACCCCACCCCCTCCCCTACTTCATGATGTGTTCATTTTATTCATCCAGATATCTTCTTCAACTTTCCATTCCTCTTCAATCCAAATTGTTACACTTGGTGTGCTGTTAAATTTCATATTTATAATCTCGCAGCCATGCATGCTGGTGTCAAATATAAAATTGGTGCAATGCAAAAACCTTCAATATTGCTCAAGTCTGGGATTATAACCCTGGGTTTGATTCTTGTTAGGGCACTTGGTAGAACTTGTATTTTCCATATCAATAAGTAATTATCATTAACTAATAGTACATTTAATGAGACAACCCTTAACTACTCTTGTTAAGATAGATTTTTATTCACTCTTATGAAAAGGGATTTATTTCATGACATGAAGATAAAAGTAATCATATATCATATGTTAACAAAATTTACCATTTTACCATAAAAAGAATGCCAATAAAATCACCATTTAGGAATAATAATTGGGACATTTACAGGGATGTACATGTCAGCTGACTGCATATTTCTTGGACTTTAGGGGATTAATACCGGTCTTAATCTCAAATGGATTTATCTCATAATGTGGCCAAATTCTAAAAATACATAATTGATTACTTATAATTTTCTCCCAAATTGATTAATTTTGGTCCCTCATATGAGATTGAAAAGTCTTTTCAGAGATAAGTGAGAAAAAATCCTAGCTTAACAAATTATCATTTGTAAAACAGCAAAATACCATCACTATAAAACGAATAAGAGACCTATAGAGTACATTCCATTCATTGACTAAAGCAAATCAATAGGGATTTTGCCAGATATTTGTAGGGTCCAGTAATGGACCCCATTCTCATTTAAACATTGTCTTGTATTTTCAGAAGTTGACCTTAATTTTCACAGTAAGCCATTGGTATAAAAACAAGACGACTATGGCCCTTAATGGTCATCTGGCAATCGCCGAATAAATGGACAAACCACAGAGTGCACTGTGACTGATGGCAGTCCAACAAATCTACTGAATTCAAATTTTGAACATTCCCTGAAAGTATCAGAAAATGGTACATTCTATTCATGAAAAACAGTTGCACAATCATGTTACAAAATGGTTTCTGTGGATACTATATTAATTTTTTGACCAGACTAAAAAATAACAACATATGGGCAAGGATCAGATAAATGGAAATAATTACGTCACATATAAGACTTATTTCTCAATGAAAAATATATGAATATTTCATCACAAGAGTTATTTTAATTCAATTTTGACAGTGCATATAACTGAAATAACATGGTGTCAGCACCTATTAAAATATTTGATTAATATTCAAATTTGTTAAAAATGTCAACTAAAATCGAAAGATATATAAGGGTATTCAGAACCATGCATGTCAAAATCCAAAATTTTCAGTTTTGTGAAAATGAGCCAGAAAAGATGAAGCATAGGCATCAAAGTTAAGATATTAAAGATAATAAATAACCCAAATAATTAAAGTAATCATCTGTTTTATCGTTTAAAAATATAAAGACAAAATGCTGTGATGGACGTAACTTGAAGGGTCAAACATGACGTCGCTAGATTTTTGTATTATTTTAGTGTGACCCAACGCAGCATAATCAGGAAAAAAATGACTACATAAATAGTATCAATTAACGAAGTGCAGAACGTTCTAGACATGTCAGAGTATATATTGAGCTAATTTGAAGTATTTTGCTTCCCCCGTGTGGAATTCGGTCAATTTTGTTACGGGCGTTCGGGTCTGGTAATTTACGGTTTTCGGATACTACATTGCGACACGATTTGCTGTTTCCATCTTTAGTGTGCCATTGTGTGTATAACGTCACCAAAAGTGGTGTACAGTCGGAAGATGGCTTCTGTGTGGGTGAGTATGTGCGATCGGTCAACATATTCTCAGTTGTTACGGGCATCACGTAATTTTATGAATGTGAATAGACGACGAACGGTACGATAAATGTATACAATTTTGAGTTGTGATTCAGTTTAACACTGTCACGCATTCATTCAGACGTTTTTTCGAAAATAAATGTTGAGCACAAGGAGTATGATGAACGATTTGCCGGTCGCCCGTAACATTTTGACAAGTTATGCACGAACGTATGTAACAGATTGACAGTTAGTCATGTCAATTGTTACGGGCGCACCATCGTCTTCAAATTTACAGCAGATTGTTTGTAACTGAGTTTCTTCGCATTACTTACTTGAAACTATTATAACGAAATTAAACATTTGCAATTTTACACGAACAATCGTCGCCGCTGGGCCATATTTCACATACCTTGTGACGGACACATTACTTTGACATCAGTGAATGCTTTGGACGTAATATAATTGAAGGTATGAAAATGTTATCTAATATGTGATTTGTGATGCCTGTAACATCTTGACAAGAATTTCGTAACTGCTTTTTTGCTAAAAATACTTACATATTTTTATTACATCTTATTCCAGATTTCTAACAGATGTGACATGAGCTGACCAAAGATGGCTGTACATGATGTGAAATGTTCAAAATAAAATTGATTGATTCGTAATTGTTTTAATCTCTTTCTTTCTTTGTCACTTGCAATATCTGTGTCAATTTGTTACCTCCAACTAAGCTTCAAGTTATCAACATGTCAATCTGTCAAAAGTTACGTCCATACGGAAAAACAACCTAAAATGTTGAAATGTTTGAAAATTTGGCATTATTATAATTGAAAGCATTTCTTTAATCTTGAAAATTATTGATTTTCATAAAAGAAATACAATACATTCTGTTTCTTCTGAACTTGGATGCTTTAAATAATAAAAAAAAATGGTGCATAATACTGTTACGTCCATCACATCAATAAAATAGGTGAAATGGTGCTTTTGGAAAATAGCTGCTTTACTTAAAAGAAACACTTGGATAATACTACTCTATATTTTCTAAATGGCTAATAAAATCTTGAATATGTGGTGCTAAAAATGCCAAAAAATATTGATTTTAAATGTCAATGTTACGTCCATCACAGTTGTCCACTTGAACTTTTTATAGCATTTTATTTTCAATTGAAATGGACCAGTTATCTTTTATTTGCTTTTATTAAGAAGAAAGGGTTTCAAGCTTTATAAAAAGCCTAAAAAATAAGGTTTTCAACAACAATTAAAAAGTCGATGTGACACCCGTAACTATTTCCATTTATCTGATCCTTGCCCATATCTCTTTCTTTCAAATGAAACTACAAATAATTTATCTCAATGGATTTTGGACCAAGCGAAAAAATAAGATTTCGTCAGAACAAACTCAGGATTCTTTCATGCATGTTTGATATCATTGCCACTTTCTGATAATGTTTCAGGCCAAATTTGATTAAAATCTACACAGGCATTTAGATGGAGTGGCATTTTTGAGCAAAATATTATTTAACTTGCCATTAGGGACCCTGTCCCATGTTCCTAAGGGTTGAATGAATTTTCTGAATTAAACAAATGATAACTCACCTGCAACGAATCAAACAAAATTTGGTTCAAATCTCCCAAGGCATTAAGAGGGAGTAGTGTTTTGAAGCAAAATACTGACTAACTTCCCCTTTTGGGGCCCTACCCCCAGGTCCTTAAGGGTCAAATTAACTATTCTGTACTTCAAGATGATTCCCCACCCAGAAAAATGTTTCAGAACAAATTTGGTTTAAATCCATTTAAGCACTAAGGAAAAGTAATGTTCGAAGCAAAATATTTACTAACTTAGCCACTCCCCAATAATTTTTCAGACAAATTTTGTTTGAAACCCATTCAAGCTTTAACAGAGTATGATTTTGAAGCAAAATATTTACTAATTATCCCATTTGCAGCCCTGTCCCTTAATCCCTAAGGGTTGAATTGACATTCTGAATTTAAAGTGACTATAATGTTAAAATATGCTACAAGAAAGCGATATAAAACATTCTATTTTCCAATATTATGTTACAAAACTAAAACTTTCTGTTAGTTACTAAAATTAATAGTCACTTTAACCATTTTTTATTGATATCTAAAAAATAAAGACTGCAAACAGTGTGGTCTTGATCTAATTAATACATTACTGTTTGTAACCTTGATGCTGTGCATGTGTATAAGCCTAGAAAGAATCAATATGGCTGACGAAAATACGAAAAGGCGACAAGGATCTAAAAGTTACCTTACAGAAAGTGCCAGAAAGCGTAAGAGGAAGAAGTTGGACCAGGAAAGAGGACAAACAAGTATTTGTATTAGACAGGAGATCGAAAGATGAAGGAGGATCTTGGACTGAATACCGATTTTTATTCTTGTCAACCGGTTTCGCCAGTTACGATTCGTCAGGCGAAACCGTTTAGCAAGAATAAAAGTATTCCACCTACTTAACCTTTTGAAGCTGGTTGATGTTGAGTTCACTTCTACTATGATTTTTTCTAAAAGTGTTATCTGACAAATGTTAAATGAAAACAGTTGTGTTATTCCCTTTAATTTACTATTGACAACATGTGTATGTTGTTGACTGCAAGATGGGGCCCCCATTAGTTTAGCGCCCACAATTGACATAGATAATTCTTGCATGACAAGCCAAACGAAACGAATTACTAAGATTGAATGTTAAAAATTATATATCATAA